AACTTAGTGTCTATACTACAGTAAAATGAATTGATGTTTGGAGCAAATAAAGATGCACCTGAAAGTCTGAAGGTACATTGAACTGGTAAACATAGGAACCAAGTATGGGGCAAGGGTTAGGAATAAGGCATGGAGTGGGGTTAGGCAGAGCTGTCAGCTTGACAAAATGTGGTTGTCTTGAAGATTATTCTGGGCATAGAGGGAAACATTTTAGCATAGCAACATCAGTCCAGGTCTAAGACCTGTCAGCATGGTTTGAACTCATTAAGAAACTGGGTGAGCCCGATCCTGAAGTTGACATCTGGATGCTAGAAACAGTATGTGTGGGATGACAGAAACCAAATAGGGCCCAGAGAAGTTACATAAGTGGCCCAAGACCACATAGTAAGGTAGTAGGAGATGTGAGTCTGGAATGTAGGTGTCCCAGTTTCATGATTTTTCCTTTGTCCCACAGTAAATACAAAATGACCCAGCTGAAATAACTACACTAGGGTTATTATATTTGTGGATAAGTACAGATCAAATCAAAGTCCCTGGACCCTGGAAATGTTTGCAAACAGAGAGGTTCTGCTGAGACAAGATCTACTTGATTTTGTAATGCAGGGGCACACATTTTCCACCCCGGCTGCATATTAGAATCATGTACAGTGCTTTTATAAATATAAATGATGCCAGAGGACCTCTCTCAAGAAAGGCACACTTAATTGATCTGGAATGGGGCCCAAAGAACCCCTGGCATAGAGAATCCAGTACCTGTTTCTACTGTTGTCTCCTGAACTGGAAAAAAAAAGGGTCGCGTTCTAGGCAAAGATAACTCTTGACCCTGCCATTGATTAGTGTGTGACCCCACATAATCTCTTTGCTTCGATTTCCTTATCTATGAAATACATGCCCTTACTTCTTAAAGGATTACTGTGAGGATCAGAGATAATATAATGGAAACTAAAACATTATAAACACCATGAAGAACTCTACAGATGCTCTGTTATAAGGTCCCTGCATCTCATGCTATGTGAACAGAATCCAACTTTAATGGGAATGTGTTCTGTGTAAAAGCATCTAATGATGACAATTATAGCTGGTTTCTGTAAAACCCATAACAATGAAAATCATCTTAGAATCAGAATCATGTGGTTTCTTTTTAGTACTCTAGGAAACCATACTTTCACTAATAATAATGTAGTAAAAGCTGGACAGATACAAAATGCTATTTTTGAAGATAAATACTTAAGAAAAAGCCAGTTTTTCTTGGTTGTTCATCTCCCTTATCAACAACCACAAAAATACACGAAGTAAAGGTAAATCCTGAGGTGATTATATTTTATTTTAAATTCTTTTAAAACAAAAGTGCTCAACCCTTCTGCTTGGGTGATGTGGAAATCAAAGTCCTCTATCTCAGCAGTGTGAATCTGGACTGGGTTTGTAGAAGGTGATCAAAGTGGGTGCATCTTAAATCTGGTGCTGCCTTAGAGTCTCTAAAACAATAGATTTGTGGAATCAGAATATCCTTGGGAAGTGGTGGGACACCTATGGTTTTAACATGTTGCCCTGGTTATACCTCAGCTTCCTGCCCATCACTGGCCAGAAGTGAGGGGTGTGTGTGTGAGAGAATCAGATATAGCTCAGGGCTTCTCAAACTGTAATGTGCATATGAATCACTTGGAGATCTTATTAAAATGTGAATTCTTATTCACTAGGCTCTGGGTGGAACCTGAAACTGTCTTTTTAACGAGCTGCCAGGTGAGGCAGATGCTGCTGGCCCAGGGACCACATTTTGAGTAGCAAGGATCTTGGTGACATATAAAAGGAAGGTGAGAACAAAAACCTCCCTTGAACAGTTCATGAGGAATTCACTGGTGAATAATACAATTTCAGCATAGTGGCAGGAAGAATCTCAAAGTACCTTGGTTCTATTGCTATTTAATGAGAGCTTGGTTAAGCATCATAAATTCCTGGTGCCAAATGACCTTGGAGTTGATGGAAAGCAAGGAGAAAATTCTGGATCTCAATAAACTCTATTTCTAATATGAAGGGACACCATGGACAACCAGAGCCCATCACAGTGATTTCTATTGTTTGGTGTTTGTGTTAAGATTTAATAGTAAAATCTATGCAATGACATCACAAATGAATTCGTATCTATTAACCAAAAGATGACAAAGATGCTACATGTAGTGATTGGTAAAGTACTGGATATACCTGCTGACTGAAATGCTTTTCAAAATAGATTAATTGTTGCTCATTTCTATGTTACCCTGAGAAGGTCTGACTGCACAGCTTTTGAAAGAGGACATGCAGCATCCTTTACAATGGATTTCATGCCATTACTCAGTATTCCACTGACACAGTAAAAGGCTGACTCATTTCCTTCCCTCTGCATGATCTGTTACAATTGAAACTGGGATACCATATGCTGGGTCTAAAACGCTCAGTATGTCCAGTGGCTCATGGTGATTCTGCCAGCTTTCAGGTGATACACAGCCTGGAGAAGCAACGAGAGAATCACTGCGGTGCAGTTTGCACTGAAAGGTTTTGAGTAATTGGGGGGATTTTATCAGATAATCATTGACTCCACTGCCTCAAACTGATGGCTGTCTGAGATGCTATCTCACACCCTTCAAGATCCTCTCGGTTTTCTTGCACATTTCCTTGCCTTGCCTGCCTTGCCCACAGTGTTACTGAGCATGCAAGTTCTGATAAAGCCCATAATGAGAATATTTATTTCCTTGTCTTTCACCATCAGGACTGTCAGGAATGTCAGCACAGCTCAAGAAACTGGATTTCAGAGCTGCCGACTGCTGCCAGCAAAGACGAGCACATTGCAGGGGATGTCTGTGAAAATGTTTAATATATTTCTCTGTGGGAAGGGGAAAGTCTTCGGGTGTCTCACCGCATAGCGGCACAGCAACACTCCAGGTGCTTTGCCTTTCCCAAAGATACTAGCATACCAGGGAGAGGTGGGGCACTTTGTTTCTTAATATGCCTACAAGATTAATTTTTAGAGTTGCTGCCATGTTATGAAAGTTTAATGCTGTGAGGTAGACTGCAGAAGAAATCAGCAAAACCTTTAATTCTTATTTTGATCCAATTTCATCATAGGAAGAGAAAAGTTAGTCTGAGTGAGCTTGACTTTAACCTAAGTATATGTCCAGTTAATTGCCTTCTTCATATAAATGACAGAGCTTCAATAATGCAAACCTACTGGATGAATATGTTTAGTCTTTATTGAGTTATTACCATGTAATGATACAACTAAATGGGATCTGAGAGATTTCCTTTCATCTCCTCATTTTATAGATAGGAAGAGTGAAAATATTTGCTCAATATCAAATAATGATTTGAAACAGAGTCAGGACTGGAACTCATGTCCTGGACTCCAAATTTAATGCTTCTGATACTAACTTGAAGGGAAAATGGGAGCCCTAAGGAGTAAACCCATCTCTCAGAACACAAACTACCGAAATCTAATCTGGATTCTCTGCCCGTCTTAAAAAACCAGAACCTTGAATAATTCCATGTCTTCAATCTAGCCTCTTCCATCTGCTTTTATACTTGTCATGTCAGAGTACAAGTCTTTTTAGCTATTTTGCTAATTGTTATTTCCTGCTGGAAAGGTTAGCTAGAGTATTAGATGAGCAAGGAAAAGTTACAACTTTAGAATACAGGGCAAAAATAAAAGGGTGTTTTCAAATTCTCAGTTAAAAAAATTTTTTTTTCTTTTCATCATGTGTTAAACCAAACAGAAAATTAAGGTAACAAGGATAGCAGATAGCAAATTCAACTTTAGCCAGAATTCCCAAGAATAGAGTTTATCAATCTTGTTACCTCAAGCTTTAGAGGAATCCTAATAAATGCCATTATCTATTCAACCTCCACACTACTGAGCCCTTTATGGAAGTTAGATTTGCCTTTCAGTCATCGTTAGTCTTTTTAGCAGACATTGTAAGTTGTCTATACAGCATGTCTCTATAGTCTCCCTTATTACAAAATTATGATTTTTTTTCAGGGCTATCAAATTGATCTGTATAAAATACTTGATTTTTCAGTCTCTTTTGCCACTGGGGGTGATCAGTGACATGTAGGTATAAGTCCTCGGGCAAAGCAAACCTTTCATAATACAAAGGCAAACTCAGATGGAGACTTTTGACTTTGGTCCTTGACTGTTTCTATTTCTTCCTGTTTGGACTGGATCTAGGTACCCTAGCCATATCACATGTTAAGGACTACAGAAAAGGATGCAAGAAACAGCTTGCATCCTGGAAAACATCTTCAAGAAGTGGTATCAGCTTTAGATTACATACCTCTGGAAATGTGTGTGAGAACAACACAAACTCCAGTGTTGAAGCCTGTGTTAGCTGGGTTCTCAGTTATTTATTTATTTATTTATTTATTTATTTATTTATTATTTTTTTAATTTAGTATTAAGGAGGGCACTTGTGATGAACACTGGGTGTTGTATGTAAGTGACGAATCACTAAATTTTACACCTGAAACTTATGTTACACTATGTTAGTTAACAGGAATTTAAATAAAAACTTGGAAAAATAAACAAAAATAATTCAAATGGATTCCTAACTGATCCAGTTATTATGAGTCTTTACAAAGTGATCCTGGATTGGATCTTATCCTTTTCTAGACCAGACACAAGATGAAATAAAGCAACGTCACCTTTGAAACCAGTCAAGTTGGAGAAAGTACTGGTAACTTTACCTACATTGCCTTACCAAGCAACAGAATTCTGATCTCAATGGACTCAGGTGTCTTTCCCCTTGTGCCAGGTAGATAGCAGTCAGGTAGAACATTTGTAGAATCTGATTTTTTCCTATCCTAATTATGGGAGGCATTGACAACGATTCTTCCTTGACACGGAGGGACTTTGGGAATCTCTGCAAATGACACTTTTCCTTTAGCTAGTGCCGGGGGGTGGGGGTGGGGCGGAAAATCAGCAAGAAAAATAGCAGCGAATGAAGTGTAGACATTTCAGTGCATTTATAGTTTACCTCCTGAATGAGCTGGTGGGCCACACAGTAGTACCATCCCCTGACCTTGACGGACAGACACAGTGCTTCTTGTTCTTGTTTTAAAGTTTTCAAGATCTGTTAAGGGAAATAAAGGAAAAGGGTTTAAATTAAGAAGGCCCAAGATCCTATGGGATAGTATAGTTGTTTCAAAAGAGGATAGTTTTCTGCTGAAAATCAGCCTTCGTATCACCCATACCAAGGAAATTCAGCATAGCCTCTTTTCACATGATATTGTCCTGTCATCCTTGATTCTATATCTATATTGTAATGGAGCTACTTGCCACATGTGTCTAGTTAGATTTAAAACACATAAAATTAAATAAAATGTACACCAGTTCCTCAGCTATACTAGTTACATTTTGTGTTCAACAGCCATGTGTAGCTAGTGGTTACCATATTGGATAGCAGAGAAATAGAACATTCACATCACTGAAGAAAGTTCTACTGGACAGTGCATATCTAAATGAAGAAACCAAGGTTTAATTATGTTAAGTGACTTCACCAACATCTTTTTTGTATTTAAATATCATTATCAGGATGTAAATTCATGTTATCTGATGCTCAATTCTATTCACTTCCCAAACCATTTATTATATGCAATTATATGTGTCACTCTATAAGTACCTAGAATATGACTCTCCCTATATATGCACACACACATTATATACAATATATAAACAGACATAAGCACACATACATAATTGTTTCAAAGTTCTTGTATATTTTTAAAAAATTTATAAGGTACTGTCCAAGGTTCTGTTTGGAAAAAAAAAAGTTCCCTTCTGTCAAGGAGGTCAAGTCTGGTTAGAAAGATAAGACATTACAAACCCAAAGATCACAGTTTGAGTCAGCGAATAAGCAGTTGCCAATAAAAATGAGTTAATGTAAAAAATATGTCTAATAAAGTGACATATTACTGTTGAAAAAAATGGTTTTTCTTCTGTCCTCCCAAATGTAAATCCTCTCAACAAGAAGTATTTTAAGTACCATTTCATTTTTTTGTTATCTAAAACATTTGATTTAATAACCTCTTATCGGATTTGAGGATTATTCCAAGCCAAGTATATTCTGCAGGGTTGCAAGGCCATCTCGATATGCACACTAGAGTACATGGACATTTATTGACTATTTCCTCCATGTTGGCCATTTTGGTAAATATTTTATGACAATTATCTGAAGTGATCCTAACAATAATTATATGAGCTAATTACCATTAATATCTCCATTTTACAGGCTAGAAAGAAGAGGCACCATGAGGTTTGTTAAAGGCTACGTTAATGAGTGATGAAGCCAGGGGGAGAAAGAGGACAGCTTCCTGCAGCTACAAAATGGGATGTTTCTACAGTCAGGCTTGACTTTAAGGAGAGGTCAGGATATTAAAAAATTTAGACACATACATATCTTCATTACCAACTTCTGGAATTATGCAAATTTTAAGATCATACATTATTATTTTCATCAATGGAGTACTTATAAAAATTTCATTAAACATGATTTGGTTGTCAGCTCAGGATACAAACACTGTATCCTCTATAGCTTCTGCCCTGTAGGGACCCAAGAGTGTAGTGGGCACGACTGACAGGTAACACTTAATCAGAGAAAGCCAAACATATGTCAGAGTTAAGGTGTGAAACAGGGTGCCTGGAGGACATGTACATATTTAGCACAATACAGAAAAGTACTATAAGTTGAATTACATTTCTGCTGTAATACAATTATTTTAATCCAAGGAGTATCGGGTGAGACTAAAACAGGATATTTTCTTTCAAGGAAATGGCTCTTCAAAAGAGATTAACAGAGATTTAAAAAACTTTATTATGGAAAATGGTTTAATATTGTAAACCGTTATCCCTAAAAGTGACAGTGAATCACTCTGAATTGTCACTTCTCCACATAGGTTCTTAGAATACATCATCTAAGTTTTTGCACAAACATCCCATCCAATCTTCAGAGTTGCATGAAAAATTAAGGGCTGATAGATAATAGAGATCAAGTCTTACCTAGGCAAAATGCACCATGGTTATGACTAGAGAAGGGGCATTAAGAAATGGGAAAGAAAATGAGAAACACATGCAATGACTTTTAACTGACCTTACTTAGTTTAAAAAACTAGATTTCTTTTTCTTCCTTTTTGGTTTATGAATTCATGCAGTTCTACAAGGATTGGGTAGTCAGAATAAATCACATTAATCTGCTATTTGAGAAAATATTAGGCATATTTCTTAGTAGTTAGTTGAAATAAATTCCACATGGGAAACCCTACTTACATAGGGAATAAAAAGACTGCATTTAGACAGATTTGACTTTGAAATCAACTCTGCCATATATTAGCCATGTTGCTGTCCTTGGGCAAGTCTTCAGTTTCTCATAAATAAATGTGAATAAATGTGCTTTGTTTTCAAGTAAGAGTCATGGGCAACAATTAAATAAGGTAATACTTGAAAAGCACAAGACCAAACACAATGCCTGTCATGCTACAAGTTTAGTGTTCAGTATATGTTTGTTCTGTCCACTGAAAAATGCTGTAATACAGTGGCAAATCATAACCCAATCATTTTATTTATGAGAGTGTTCCAAATAGTAAATGAATTCTAGAGAGAATTCTAGAGAGCTATAGAAGCTAAACAAAGGACACTGCATTTAAGCACATTTAAAGAAAAATTTCATGTCCAAAACAGGCCTTTTTAGATATAACTACTCATCTAGATCATAATTACTAGCAGCATGATAATTGTAGGAATCAAAGAACTATGTGTGTGAATGGTATTTTTTGAAGCTTATATACTCATGGCTCAGGCCTTTCTCAACAAATTCCCACATATATTATTTTTCTAAGAGTCATTTTATTTCTAAAGCCTTGGTACTAGGTAATGATGGTTAGCAACAGACGTTACAAGACAGTTAGAATATATTATGGATAACGCTCTTTTACCATCACCATTGCTCTAATAGCAATAATAGCATCTACCTGCAGAATGTATTGAGGTCATACCATGTGCCAAGCACTTTTCATATAGATCTCATTTAATTCCATCATAGTTTAAATTCCCAACTTAAAGGCGACAGAAGTGAAGCTCAGAGATGTTTAGTATTATCTTCACCCACCTAGGAAGTGGTCAGAAAAATACAAATTCGTATCTGTCTCCCTCTAAAGCTACTGTTCTCAAACACCAGAATCTATGGCTTCCCCACTGATTTAGCGAAGCCAGTGAAAAAGAGCATTCAAACTAGCTATCTTAGAGACAAAATAAATAAATAAATAACTGACTGAATGAATATTAAGCTCTTTAGTGAACATGTAAGAAAATCCACACTTGAATGCACAAAGCATTGAGTAGGTACATTTGATTCCAAATCTTATATTCCTTTGCTTTTCCTTGTGGGTGAGTACTCAATGTAGGGATTTTTAAACATTAGGTGAAAAGGATGAAATTGAACAAAGAGAAAACAATCAGAAATAACTTCATTGAGACTGCTGAATCACAGACCTGTACCTCTGAAACAAATAATACATTATATGTTTAAAAAAAAAAAAAAAAGAAGAAGAAGATAGCAGGAGGGGAAGAATGAAGGGGGGGAAACGGAGGGGGAGACGAACCATGGGAGAAACAAACTGAGGGTTCTAGAGGGGAGGGGGGTGGGGGGATGGGTTGGCCTGGTGATGGGTATTAAAGAGGGCATGTTCTGCATGGAGCACTGGGTGTTATACGCAAACAATGAATCATGGAACACTACATCAAAAACTAATGACGTAATGTATGGTGATTAACATAACAATAAAAAGAAAAAAGAAATAACTTCATTAAGAAGCATGATTGTTGCATTGTCAGGAAGGTAGCTGAACAATGCAGTCAGTTACTAAAGATATGGATGAATAAATGATGTATATGTGTGACAAGGAATTAATATCCATGTATTGTGGCTTTTCAAAACAGCTTGTTTTTCCAGCTCTGTATATGGTTCACTGACACGTGGTTCGTAGACTTAAAAAATAAATGGCTATACTTTTTGGTGTTGACTTCATTCATCAGTGTTTTACATAATTTTTTCCAGAAATCATATGCTAAGGGATGCACAATTTTGTGGCAGATGTGTTTTCATATCATATTTTTCTATGGAAACAATTGTCCTTTATTCTGCTATGGAATGTAATATCAGCATTTCATTTTTAAATGAGATTAGAAAATATGCTATAGTACTTGGAATGTGTATTGAGTGCATGGAGGAAATGATTTACCAGTTAAATTCCCGAGGGAGTAAAAGTATACAAAGGTCTTAAAGCTGCAATATGTGATAAATAATAAAAGGCCTTAATATATGAGAATACTTAGAATTCAGACTGTGAATAAATCAGAGAGTGAGAGGGAAAAATCTCCACATATTTCCTGTCTGTAAAGTTATCAAATGTTTAGAGGAAAGGAAGAGATACCTTACAATAAAAACCTGGAGGTACTCTAGAGAAAACAAAATCAGGAGAGCCCAAGATATTTTTTTGAGAAATAACAGTAAATAGGAAAGAGTAACATATTCGGGCCATCATTAAGGGACTACCCATTGAACATGGAAGAGCTAAAGCCATTCATAAGGTGGGACAAGCCAGAGTATAAGAAGTTTAGGTTTGGGGCACCTGGGTGGCTCAGTCATTAAGCATCTGCCTTTGGCTCGGGTCATGATCTCAGGGTCCTGGGATCGAGCCCCACATCGGGCTCCCTGCTCCGGCAGGAAGCCTGCTTCTCCCTCTCCCACTCCCCCTGCTTATATTCCCTCTCTCGCTGTGTCTCTCTCTGTCAAATAAATAAAATCTTAAAAAAAAAAAAGTTTAGTTTTAAAATGGCCAGAGAGGTTAATGAGATCATAACACACATCATGTTTGTTAAGAATCTACAAAGAAGCAGGAGAAAAGGAAAGAGGAAGAATGAAACAGTAAACTATGCAAGCAATGCATGTATTTTTAGTATATTTTTAGTCACTACAAGTTAAAAAGGGACAACAACAATTCACTTTTTTTCCTGATTTGGGTAGGCATGGATCCTAACAATTCTTATAGTGTCCTTAGAACAAGAAATTTCCATCAC